GCAAGTGCGTACACGTGCCTACCCCGAGCTGCTCAGCCCGTCCCGGTGCATGGAGTGAATGCTCTAAGCGGAATGCGATGGGAGGGTTAAAGTTAGGTTGGTGGCCTTGTCGGGCGGCAGGGTCTGAATGTGTTCGGGAGGTGAGGGCCCCTGCTTTCAACCTCTTCAAGCAAGCCCTTGCGGTGATGGTGACGGATGAGGAGCGAGCTCCAATCACCCGTGTCAGCAGCAGGGAGCCCGTGCTTTGCCAGGAGCGCCTGCGCTTCGCAAGGGCCTTGGGGAAGGAGCTTTGGTTTACCGAGGCGCAGGCAGGGCGGCCACGGATGGAACGGATGTGAAGTGTGAAGTATAGTTTATGTGATTGAGGTCGGTACTTAGAGCATGTCTCGTTCGGAAGGTCAAGGTCTTGACAGAGACAAGCGCTGTCCAGGGCTTGGAGGATTCACGGAGAGCTCGTGCAGAAAGACGCGGCATCTGCTCAGAGTACAGCAGATACTGCAATGCGAAAAGCTTGTTGCCCATGCCGGACAGATGTGTCCACGTCGGCTTCCCAGGAAATGGCGGTACAACTCGCGCCTTGACTGCCACTAAAGTCAGTCGTTAAAGGATATGATAAGCATGGGCATGCATCGGCCCAGCTCCCATGTCAGCCTCCTCACCTCGAGCCGCAAATCACAGATTGGGAGCATCAGGTGCAGAAGGCTCTGGTTGCGTGGCTCATGCTCCTTGCTTTCCTCCAGGTGTGCTTCTTGTTTCCAGCACTGCGAAGTCCGGAACTCGGCATGATGTAGTTCCGCTTCCGATGAACCTGTGCCTGCTAGAATAAAAACCGAATGTTTGCGGAGTCATGTCCGGCTGTCGTAGAGGTCGGAGGTTCCAGTTGGCACTCGTGCAGCAGATCACCGAGCCCTCGAAGATGACAAAGGCGCTTAGCTGCGGATTTTCGCTGCCTCGGCCTCGAGACCTGATCCAGAGGTTCGCGACTCGGTCCGACACCTCCTTTGGTTCCAGGACACCAACCCCACTGGCAGACGCTTGGTCGCAGCTTCGATTCCTTGCCACGATAAGAAAGTCTGCCACTGCTGGCGTGGAGGTTACAATCTGGACTTGTCTATCCCAGTTGACTACGCCCTGGCAGCGTCCCGTCATATACTGACACTACCACGGCTCAAGACTGTTTGCGACGAATTCGCGAAAACTGGCAAGGAATGCTGCCTTCTCGTGAATGCCTGGGAGTCCGAGTCTGCCAGATGCGTTGCTAAGCTGTGACTTTTCGTTTTGTTTTGAGGTTGCTTAGTTTAAACGCAGCGAGAGCTTGGATTTTTTTTTGCCCTTGAAAGGCTGGTCGTCCGGACCTTTCACAATCAGGAGCCGAGAACCGAATGTCCCGTTCGCCCGTCGCCATCGATCGTTTCAAGACTGTGCTTTTTCCGGATCGGCGGTACTGCCGTTGCGATGCGAAGTTTCTGTACCAGGAAATTTTGAGATGATACGCAATGAGGCACCCGCATCGAGCCTCCGGCCAACTGCTCTGCATCTGTGTAAGGGTTGCCCCGCAGGCTTACAATGATGTCCCTTTCGTCTATTCCAAGGCAGGCGTTTCTTGGAGTGATGCCAGAGACGACGCGAATTGTGTGTCAGGACTGGTTGCTGCCGTCGTCTGGCTGGTTGCGTTTTGAGTACTCATCCACGAGACGCCCTCCTCCAGATGCAACAACCATGAACGAGGTTTCGGACTCTTGGCTGCTCTGCTCTGCCTGACACACCCAGATTTTATCAGAGCTAGCGGGTGCCAGCTGACTTCTCAGGAGATTACCCGTCTCTTGAGGAACAAGGCCTTTGCACGGCTGCAAGTTCGTACATAAAAACGGGGTTCTATCTTGGCAGAAAAGTCGATGGGGTCAGGCTGCAGATGTTAGGGGAGAACAGGGGCTTTGGTCGTGTCCTCATTACTGTAGGGGCCATGAGAGCTAGGCACAGTCGCACTTCCCAGGCAGTTTTCTTTGTGGGCATCATTCGTAGATGCAGAGCCCAGAACCAGGACCTCAGCAGCCAGTCGCGGCTGCAGGCCCTGAGAGCAGCCTCAGACTCTCAGATCAATAGATTTCACATGGGTTTTCTTTGGATGTTTTCATTCTACGCTCGGCTTGAACCGGCGTAAGCTGCGTCAACGGGGGTTGGGAGCCTAGCTCCGCAAAGCCCAGGTGCACCTGTTCATTTCCAGTAACCAATGCAGAGCCTTGGTCCAGTGCGGAACTTACATGCTGGCGATGCTTGCCGATGCTGTGGTCCCCGCTTGGGTTTTGCGATGGTGGAGACAGCGCTGTCGGGAAGTCGGGCGAGGTGCTTCCCGTCTGCTCCAGAATCTTCGTTGCATGCTCGGTCACAGTGAATCAAGTCTGTAAAGCAGCCCGCCCCCACCTGCGGTGTAAGCTTCGCAAGGTCTCAAGATGCAGTGAACAGTGGGACAGACGAGTCGCCAGATCGGCAAGAAGCCTTCTGCATTCTGCACACACGCGTGCTGGACCGAGAGCGCCGCGCGCCAAGCATTGCCTCCATGTAAGTCGCCCGTCGGCACAGTTCCTGCATGGTTCGGCCTTGCGCAGACTCAGGTCTGCTGGGTCCCGAAGTGGTTTATTCACCGCGGGGCTCTGAGATGTGTTCATTGAATGGAGACGTCCTGTATACTTGCCTCTGCCAAGGGTGGTTGTGCAGCAGATCGGCATGAGTCACCACGGGACCTCTGTGTTGGTCAGAGGAGGCATGTTCAAGACTGGCGAGCTGGAGATGAAGAGTGCGGAAGCGCCGCTTGGATGAATCATGGCAAGATGAATCACATCTGCCACTTCTAGCAGTCGTGATCTAAGGCAGATCCCTACTTCGGCTCCTGCCTCAGTCAAGCCAGAGATGGCCTTTCTCAGTTTGCTTGAGAGCCGCGGGGCTCGAGGTGGCCACTGCCCTGCAGGGTGCGCCCTTGCCTGAGCCGCCAAAGCTTCCGCCAAATGGAAGACACCACTGGCCACTGCCAGTCACAGCCGAGGCACGGCTCGAAAAAAACCGCTGGGCCAGAGCCTGAGATGTCACGCAGAGTGCATGTCCTAATCATTGCTTCTGCTGTGCGGCACTCTCAGGGGCAGACGGGGAGGTTTGGCCATCGACCAGAATCCGCCAGCATCCAAGACAGTTGAAGAGGTGCGGCATGCATCGGTAATCGGTTTGCTGGAGGCTTTCCGCTTACTACAACTTTCTCATCGTCTTCAAAGACCGCGGGTTTTGTACGCAAGCCTCGTGTCAGGGGAGAGCTTGACCTACCCCTCCTGAATGCATCTTCGGAGATGACAATGGACATGACCAGCGCATGCGCTGATGCTGTTTGTTGTGCTGTTTCAAGGTTTTGATTTGATCAGCCTTCTATATCTTCCATGCTTCTCTAATGCATTTGGGTACATTTTCTACTCGATGCGTTAGTGATGCTTGCAGTGCCCTTTCATTGGCGAGACTGCGGCCATGCCAGCAATGCAAAACGATCAAGCAAAGCCGAGATTTTCACCAGCTCTCGCCGGCAGTGTCATGGGCAGTCTGACGATCCAAACAGTATCCGACACTGTAACAGTTTCGGTGCCATGGAAATACTTCGGTCTTTCAACCGAGCTTGGTGGTGAGTTTGAGCAGTTACTGGGCTCTCGGCGGGCAGGAGCAAGATGTCTTGGCACTCTATCGACGGTGCGGCCCTGACGCTTTCGAAACTATTCGTTGTCTGGTGCGGGCTTCCTTTCGTCATCATTCAGGCTGGGAGTCCTCCATCTCCTAAATCCATACAAGCCTGAGATTCTGCGAATGCAACAGCCTGAGCACCGTGTTCAGTTGCTGGGCGAGCTTCCATGAGCTACCATGCCTCAGTGTACTGGGCTCCATTTTCAGGCCTGTGGACTTAAGCATCCACGAACAACATCGCATTGAGCAGAGCTCAGCGACATTTGTGAACCTGACGGCCAGTGACCTCCTGCACCGACAGGTAAACTTCCTGGTGCAACTTGCCAGCGCGGAGACCGGGAGTGCTTTACTTACGTTTCGTGTGTCCAAGAAAGAACAGGTTCTTCCAGATAGGTGTGATTTGCTGCCTTAGTTGCTATCGGTGTGGGATACCATTCTGCTGGTTTCTTGAGGCCGTGTCCTTTGCTGGCTGGACGGGCAGCAGGCAGGAACACAGAGAAGGCTACTGTGAGTGGGACTGAGACATTCAGTTGCATCGACCAAGCTGACTGCAGAAAAGGATCTTGTCTGCTATGGCTATAGCTGCCCCGGCAGCTCCAGGTGGCGGTACCTGCATCCTGGGCGGACAAAGGTGTTCCACGAGCCCATGCCACCATCACCGTGCCCCAGAGCAAAGCTTTGGGGTTTTATGTAGTAAAAAGTGCGGTCGGCAGTCGTCGACTTTGCATATATCCGTGATGCGGAGTCCATGGTGCATTCGTTCCTGGATGCTTCAGGTTTCGTACGAGGGGCACAACAGCTCATTCGCAGCACGGCAGGCTCTGGACGGACGTGGGCAGTTCCATGCGACATGACCCCATCCTGGCTCCAATTTGATCTTGCAGGCTTTGGCTGAGCAATACTGCACTGGTTTCTGGCAACCGGGGTTGGCAAAATAGGTTCGCGCCGTCAAAACGGCGGTGCATTCCAAGTTCTCGTTCGGACCAGCAGCAGAACAAATGGTTTTGCAGCGGTCTCCGGTTTCTCGCATCGCACATAGCCACGTGCGATTCTGCAGACAACCGTATTCGACAGCCGCCCAGGCAAAGAAAGCATCAGCGGACAAATGCGCAGGGTTAGGTCGCCTAGCTTGTGTTGAGAGTTGTGGAGACCGACGGATGCTGGCATCCCTGTGTCGCTGGATGGCATGGCATCATTCCGTCACGCAACATCTTTCCACCCAAAGGCAGCGATGCAGACTCCAGAAGGGTGTCTATCGGTTGCTTTGTGAAGGAAAGAAGCGAGCCATGGAAATCAGTGCTGCCGCCGGTTGCGTCAGCTCTTTGCCGAGCGTGCGGGAAGTCAGGACGCCCGCAAAGCGAGTCCAAAGTTACGACAAGAAGCTGACGTCCCTGACTGTGCCCTTGGGTGCTTTTGGCGGCTTGTTACTGGGCGCCCGCTCGCAAGCCCGCTCGCAAGCACCGAGCCGGAGGCTCGCGCCGACGCAGCGTCGCTACACCGCGGAGACCACGCGGGTCATCGGGGACTGGGCGGACGGCCTCGTGGAAGCCGGCGAGGCGGAGCTGGCAGAAAAGAGAGTCGAACAAAGAGAGAGAGCGATAGCCTCTGAGAGAGAGAGAGAGAGCCTCTAAGACTCTAAGAGTCGAGCTGAGTGTAACCGCCGCGCGCTTCCATGGGGCTCCAAGGTGAAGCTCGTCGTCTCGGAGCTTCCGGGGGGCATCACGCAATTCCGCAGCGTCCACACCAAGGGCTCTCGCTATGGAGAGGAGTATGACCTGGGTGCTGGGAGCACCGAGAACTTGTACTTGCTCAAGCCAGAATCGTCAGACAAACCCTGGCTTTTGATTGGCGCATTTAGCCGAGACAGCCAGAATTTGATGTTGGAAGTGATGCAGAAGGAGCCTGGCTTAGTGGACAAGGTCGGAATGCTCGTGCTGCAGTTCTTCGATGGAGGGCAGGCCGTGGGCAGAAGAAAACAACTTGATATCACGCAGAACCGATCCTGACTGCTCGTTCATTCTGCAGGTCCCCTTCATTGAGGAGCGGCATCTGGGGAAAGGTTTTGCTAGTTGAGTGTATGTGTGCCACAGCAGTTCGCAAAGCACAACTTTTGCTGAGACCCGATTGTGTATTGTATTCGTCTCCGTGTCGAAGACTTGCTTTGCGCCGAGCTGCAGTCTGTTCAACTCTTGTTGGAACGAGGAAGAGGTTTCGTCTGTGAGTCATGAAGCCAAGAGGCGCATTTTCTCGACGATTCAAGCTAGCACTTAAGCCGGTGTCATGTGTTTGGCTGGACATGAAATCAAGTGTTTTGGGATTCGGGCGAAGCAACTTCGAGAGAGAGAGGGGCTGCCGACGCTGCGGGAAACCGCCAATTTTTGATACATGCTGACTACTACTGTACAGAATCCCCGTGTCTGGAATCATGCTGGGTATCCATGTACCTGTCCATACACCGCCCGGCGTATGACGACTGACTGACTGCCGACACTAAACGCATGGAGAATGTACCACAGCAACGTAGCTTTGCAGAACGTCTCCTTTTCTACAGTCGACGGTGGTCGCATGGATGACGGCACAGGTGGTGGGCACATCCCAGGTCAGTGTCGGTTGACGAGGCTCCTCTAATCAGGAAGAGTGCCGAATCCGTGTTGCTGGCACTTTGCATTTCCAGCAGAGCCAACACCGGTCACACCATATGGAGCAGAAGTTTAGCACTTCCCCGCTGCGCGTGGTTTTGCACTTTGGAAGTGAAAGATCGCAAACCCGCGTCCGGTCTTGCATGCTTTCACGTTGAGGATCTTGTTGAGCAGCGGTCTGGCGATCCGCTCTTGATCTATGCTTCGATGCCTGTCATTCTGGCACTGAAGAAGAAGTTGTCGGAGGCGGTGCTGGGGAAGGTGAGCTTTCTTCCCATCAAGAACAGCTCCAGGCCAGGCAGGCGATCAGTGCGCTTTTGTCTTTGGACCGCTGTGCGCAGTTCTCCCAGCCTAGGCTCGAGCTCGACACCGGCCGGGTGATGCGCTTCGTGCTGACCCCTACTCAGAAGCTGCCGGAAGCCACGTCGGCCTTCGACCCGCTCACCGGAAGCCTCTTCACGGGTAAGTTCTTCAGTGCGCACAGAGAGATTGGCGAGAAAGACAGCCCTTTCGACACCCCAGGGATTGAAGGCTGGGAGGCGTACGTGGAGGACCGCCAGAAAGTGTTGACAGATCAAGATACTGTAGCCTGCGATTTTGCCGTGAGACATCGCCGAAGTGCATGATCTCAGGACTGGTATCATTTGTTCGACTGTTACTTCTTCACCAAGAGGGCGGCCTCGTCGGTGCGGAAGATCTTCATGCTTTGCGAGGCCCTACGTGGGCCGGATGTGACACAGCTAGCTCCTCTGCATGGCCCGGTGGTGCGGGATCAGTGCTGGAAGCTGATGGCGAAGTACGAAGCCTGGACCGAGCAAAAGCTGAGGAAAGAGACTCGCCGAGACTTCGAAGTCCTCGTGATGTACGCCAGCGCTTACGGTCATACCAAGGCCTTGGCTCAAGCCATCTCCAAGGGTCTTGCGACATCCGGCGTCAAGGTAGTGGACCTGAACCTGGAGCATTGCACTGCCGAGGATGTTTCAAATGCGCTGCAGTCAGCTGACGGCTTCTGCATTGGCAGTCCAACTTTGGGTGGTGAGATGCCATCCCAAGTCAAAGAAGCTCTCGGAGTTGTCCTGAGTTTGCCTGCAGATCGACGCGTCCCTTGCGGAGTTTTCGGGTCTTTCGGTTGGAGTGGTGAAGCAGTCGATGAGCTGCAATTCCGCCTGAAGGATTCTGGCTTCCCATTAGCCTTCGATCCCATCCGAGCCAAATTCAAGCCCACGCCAGAAACTCTGGAGCTTTGCACTCTGTCGGGCCTCCGCTTGTTTCAGAAGCTCTGCCGCGATGTGCTGCAAAAGCGCAAGCGCATGGCACGGAACTTGACCAAGGAGCCAGGCAGTGGGGCTTTGGAAGCCTTCGGGAAGATGCGGACGTCGCAGGCCGTGATGACATCTCTTGGCCCAGAGGGTGACGTCTTCACCCCGGTCTCATGGGTGAACCAGGCATCTTTTGAGCCGCTCGGTATCACTCTTGCCATTCCAAAGCCAGAGGACGAGCTCGAGAAGGAGACGGAAATTGAGGAGCCAGAGTTTCTCCTCGATGGCATTTTGAAGAACCACGAGAAGATAAGATCTCGTTATGTAGAGGGCGAAGAAGTGACAGACATTTTGAAGCAGCTTCTTGGTACAAGCGATGCGGATTGCCTCGACAAGGCGGATTATCCAAAGTCGTATGTGCAAGGGGCATATAAAATGAGTGCAATCGAGGATAAGGAAGCAAAGCAGCAGCACAGAGACAGTACTAGGCCACTAGGCAGAGGCAATTTCGCCATGCAGTGGGTGCGGAGATGCAAAACAAACTATACTCTCTAATAACTCTAATACCTCAAGGCTCCCACCACATGTTGGCAGCCTTTCGTAGGCAAGTTCTCAGGCGATGGAAATCCTTGATCCGTACGACGACGGGTTGGTCACCTTTGACGAGCTGCGGATCGCCGTGCAGCCAGGAGAGCCATTGCGAGCCATGATGGAGGAGAGAGAAGGAAGCTCCCGGAAGGAAAGCCTGGGTCTGCAAGATTTCCTGCTAAGCCTGGCACCTGAGGGCCAGAGCTATGCCGAGCTGGCAAAGGCTGGACCCCACAAGAAGGCCAAGTCAACGAATGGATGCTTGGTGCTGGAAGGTTGCCATGCATTTCTTGAGTGCCATGCCGTCTCGGTGCTGGATGCCGGGAACTATTCGTTGGTCTATGCGGAGGTCACCTCTGGTAAAGTGTTGGACGAGAAGGTGAAGACAGACATCAGATCTGTCATCGAGTCCTCAAACCTTGTCGGTTGGAACCTGCAGGAGGCCACCCAGGCCGCCCGTGCTCCGGCAATGGCGGCGATGCCCGCAACTTCGCACCTGCAAGCGCAGGGATCCATTTTTGCGGGTGCCACTACAAGCCCAGCACCCCAGAGAACCGCACAGAGAACCGCTCTGGCAGCACGAGGGGGAGAGGAGCGAGATGTAGAAATGTCTGAAATTCAGAGTTGGACAGGCCTCACGCCTGGAAAGGAGTATCGTTTGCAGACTATGTCCATCGAAGCCATAGCGGAGGACACGAGCACCATTCGCTCTTTGGACTGGGATAGGGACCGTTTCGACATCGAGTTCCGCTTGGAGCGTGGAACAACCTACAACTCCTACATAATCAAGGGCGCTGAGAAGACAGCTGTGGTAGACACTTCGCACGAAAAGTTTGAAGATCTCTATACTGCGGCGCTTAACAAGGAGGTGGATTTGGCTATGTTAGACTACTTGGTTGTGTCCCACACAGAGCCTGACCATTCTGGTCTGATTGGAAAGGTCCTTGAAATGGCCGCTGCAGCTGGCAACGAAAAGCTCGAGGTGATCGGTTCCAAAATCTGCATCCTCTACCTGAAGAACTTGGTGTTCCAGCCATTCAAAAGCAAAGTTGTTCAGACAGGCGCGCCTTTCTTCGTGCCCGTGCATTTGTGACCATGTGAAACATTAAGTAAGTATAGTGAAGGCCAGAAAGTTGGAACGTGGATTTAGGATGATTAGTGCTAGGATTGCCTCTGCTATACCTTAAGGGCATGAGGATAATGGTGTTCCAACTTTCTGGCTTCTACTGTATCCTCTCAGATCTCCCAGTCTCGACTTGACCCCAGGGCGATCTAGAAAAGCGGGAGACATCTCCAGGATGGGGATGCTCCCCGGGAGAAAAACAGGGGAGTAGCCACCGGTTCAGCAAACTCGGATTGTCCCATGCCTGTCTTGCAGGTGATCAGATTGATCTGGGTGGCGGCCACACGTTGGAATTCGTGATTGCGCCGAACCTTCATTGGCCTGATACGATGTTCACCTTCGACCACAAGACAGGAATACTCTATACGTGCGATGCCTTTGGAATGCACTACTGCTCTGACTATTTGGAGGATGTCGAAGGAGTGAAGGAGCTGCTCCCTCATTATGCCACGTACTACGACTGCCTCATGAAGCCCAATGCGAGATCGGTTCTGACGGCTTTGAAAAAGATCAACGACTTTGATCTCAAGGAGCCGCAGCTTTTAGGGTCAGAAGTGTTAAACAATCCGGGTCCTAGTCGCTGTGACCTTCTCCAGGCCGTGGCCACGGGGCATGGGCCCATGCTCTCGCAGAATTTGGAGACTTTCGTTGATTACTACCGGTCTTGGAGCGAGAAGGCGACTGCCAAGATTGGCCCCTCAGTCGCCGTGTTCTGGGTCAGCAACTTGGCAAATATGTGTTTCTTGAGTGTAGCAACCGGCAGGATACCTGAAGAATCGTGGTGTGCTGCAGAGCCAAATGTCCCCTGCCTTCATCTTTAAGCATCCGCCATCCGCCTGCTTCCGGTCTTATAGGCGCGGCATGTCGCGATCGCGGTTGAAGGCGGCGGCGGCCATCCTTTGGCTCAGACACGTGTTCACACAATGCCTGATTGGTTAATGACAACAGGTGTGCCAAGCTGATCAGTACCAGCTGGTGTCCCGGAACCGCTCTTTGTGTTCGTTCATGTCACAAAACATCTGCAGTCCATTGTGCTTACCAGAGGACTGTAGTTTATCTTCATATCCATCCTCATGGAGGAACGGCTGAGGCTTGCTACCCAAGGCAGCGAACTGGTCAGGGATGCTGGGGAAGCCACCCAGGAAGAGAAGCAGAGACAGCTCATGGAGTTGGGCTTACGCAGCGGCCTGCACGTCCAGATGCTCTCCAAGCCTGCAGACTCGGCATCTCTGGAGTCGGAAGACGAGGACGCAGCAGGAAGAGCTTTGACGACAGCAGATAGAGGACCATATGACTTCGCAGTCTGCAGGCAGAGATGTCGCCGATGTGTCAACTTCTCTGGCGAGGAGAGGAGTGAGTGCCAGCCAGACGACGCCTCTGTTCAAGCAACTGGATCGAGAAGTGCCAGATCTTGTCACCCCTTCATGGAGTGAGTCTCAGGAAACCGAGCAGGCAGACAGAGCAGAGCCTAGGACTGCAACGGCTACAGTGAAGCAGGAGGCGGAAGCTCATGTGCCAGGTCCTGAGGCAGCTGAAGATGCTGCTCCTGAGGCAGTCGGAGCTGATCGACTTCAGCAGACTTCCCAAGCTGCCCAAGTACTAGTTCCAAGTACTGGGGCAGCTTGGGAGTCTGGTGAAGTCGATCAGCTCTGACGCCGGTCGTGGCAGAGCAGCTCTGAGACACCTGCCGTTTTCAAGCTCGATGAGCTGCCTTTCCATCTCCAATGGCAGCTTGCACCCTTCTTCAACTTGTCCATATGCCGCATGGCAGAACAGCTGAAGGATTGTAAAGGGCGGCTGCAAAGACATGTCACAAGGCTTGAAGTGCATCACGGTCATCTCTTCCTCTTCTCCGTCCCCTTCTTCCTTGATCTCCACGGCTGCTGGCGGTCCTGTGTGAGCCGTCGCCGTCGCTCTCTGAAGCAGTGTGGCATTCTGGCTCTTCAGAAGCTCATTCTCGGCCTCTGCTTTCGCTGGCCGTACGGCCATGGCTAGCTCCTTCTCGTGCCTCTTCTCAGCTTCGGCTTTCTCCTTCTCGCGCTTCTTCTCTTGTCGCTCCAGCCCCCGTCCGTGAGCTGCAGCCAGCTGCTGGGCTACGACTCCCGCAGCTAAGTTGCAGGCTGCGGCGGCCAAAGGTCCCATTTGCTGCTCCATGGCCTCCCTCTTCACTCTCGGTGCCACAGGCATTGGAGCTTGGACCACTTGCAGCAGCCGAAGAGACGCAGCCTCCTCCGATGCGCCGGAAGTGGCAGAGCAGCTCTGAGACACCTGCCGTTTTCAAGCTCGATGAGCTGCCTCTCCATCTCCAATGGCAGACGTCTTTCGTCGCCTGCAGCTTGGACATGAACTAGAGCGTCTCGTACTGCTTACCTTAGCTGTGGAATCGGTGCCAAGGTAATGCAAATCAACCACGACCTGTCACCTGTTTCATTGCACGGCTTGCTGTAGGTGTGCAGGGGGTTAACTGAGTATATTCACATTCATGACTTGACTATGCTATAAACCTACATCAAGCCTTCTGTGCAGTGCGATCGACAAGTTTCACCCTTGGACAGCGCGAAGCGTCTGGCAGGATGCATCGGAAACTCCTGACGGCATGCAAAGCTTGCTCTTCACACACATGCGTCGTCGAGTTTGTTTAGACTATTCGAAAGGCAACTTCGGAGAAAGCGAGCGGCTCGCGCAGCTCTTTGCGCACGGCCTCACCAGCTGCAGCGTGAATGTGGAGATGCATGACCTGAATGCTGTGGACGGGCTGGAAATCACCGAATGTCTCGGCCGGAACGAGATCATCGTCTTCACGGCTCCGCCGAAGGAGTCGACTGGAGCAAGTAACATCGGCAACATCGTGGCGAACGTGAAGCCCAAGAAGCACCAGTTTGTCGTGCTGGACAGCTGCGATGATGCCCAGGATCGGAGAAGAGCGGAGCTGCATCCTGCATCGTCTGTGCAGCATCGTCCGCTGTCTCTTTCGATGCGCCAGGAGCCCGTGGCCTTGCTGAGGAGCCGGATGCTCGAGGCCAACATCCCGGAGGCGTTGCCTGCGATGGAGGTGACGAATCGGCCGATCACCGCGCAGACCCTTCACACCTTCGAGGAGGCCACAGTGCAAGGTTGCATAAGTGTTGCATGTGTCGTCCTGAGCTTGACTACAACTCGTCTGGGCAAGGCGGGGATGCAGATTGGCAAGAAGCTGACTCAGAAGAGCAAGGCAGCAGCTGCGAAGAACCAGGCGCACTGCATCCGAAAGTCGTTTGTGTGCACCACACGCTGATAAGAACAATTAGGACGGATGATGTGTGGACTCGCTTGAGTTAGAGCTGTTGCACTCGTGCTAGAATGTTTTAGCTGCGCGAGGACAAAGATCTTTCCAAAGCTCTGGGACGCCTGGCGAGCTCCCTTTACATCGTTACAGCCAAGAAGGCAGGGGTCCGCCACGCCATGGTGGCGAGCTGGGTAACGCCTGCATCCAGCAAGCCCCTGGGTGCCCCTCGGACTTAAACCTCGTTGCTTGTTTCAGCCTCCAGCAGTCTGTCAACGAGTTACGCGAATGCATTGAGTCAAATGGCCAGGTTTCTGTAACTATCGCCAAGGAGCGTGCCATGGTGGCTTGGGCGCGGTTTTGAATGTTGCCCTGTTGTTTTCCCTTCTTCGTGTTGTTGCAACTGCTTTGCTTGGAGAGGGCAAACATGTGTCGAGGAACCTTTGTTGCGAATTGGTGACAGCTTCACTTTGAACATCCTGGAGGACGGCGCTGCGTGAGTTGTGAGGGCTAATCAACTATGCCATCATGCCTTTCCCGGGAGAGAGCAGATGCGACGACACGGCTTGCTGGGAACGAAAAAGCAGTCGGAGCGAGCAACCAACTTTTGCAAGGGAGTCGAGGGGCGTCATCTGGAGTGAGTCTAAGTCTAAGACATAGCAGCCGAGCTGCTTTTTGAAGTTCGCTACCGGCCTCGACCTGGAAGCTGAGCAGGATGAGAGGCAACACACACGCAAACACACGCAACCGCGACGGCACAACTGCAAACAAAGGCCACTCTGGGACCATTCGCGATTGTCGGCGTGTCCGGACGCGAAATATGCCTTGCAAGAGAGGGGGCAAAAGGTTGTGCGCCTTAAGAGCCTCCGCCGTTATGGATTGATGGATAACTTCCGCTGGCAGGACGGCAAACGGGAGACGTTGCAGGTGATGAAGCATTTCTTGCAGCGCTTTGCTCCCGGAGTGGATCGTTTGGAGGGCGTGGATCACATCGAGGGATCCAACGGCGCGGCCATTCTGAGGCACCGGTGAAGTTGTTTCAGTTGCAGTTGCGGATATCTTAGAAGACGTTGCGATGTTGCGCCCCGTTGGGGGGGCTGGAGGAGGCTTTCCGTAATTTTCACCTGTTGCTACATCTGTTCTCGAGGTCGGCCTGTGCATACCTCGAGTGCAAGATTGTCTCGCGCATGGATGCCTCTGACCATTGGGTGGGCTATGCGGAGGTTGTAGGCGGCGAAGTCTCAAGTCCAAGCGCTACAGCCGCTGTCCACCATCGGAAGGTGGGAACTTACTATTGATTGAAATTTGCAGAGAGGCCAGAGAGGCCTGTCAGTAGCATGTGTGTGAAAAGACCTTTGAACTCTTCACCTGTGGATTCTTGCAGCGAACATTTTTCGGCTCCTGGTCCTGTTTGAGCCAATAGATTAAGCTTCTTTTAAGTGCAGAGACCCACCAGACGCCAGAAGTGCTGTGCTGTGGCACATTTTTTTAAAACCGTGCCATCAAAAACCGACAAGTGGAGATGCTTGCGCTCGAGTGTCGCGTGCCGTTTTGAGCTTGCTGTCTGCAAGGGCCATCTGGTAGCCCGCAGTTGAACAGTCTCGTGTGTCGCAGCTGGATTTTTGGGGCATGGGAGACGAAGAAGCCTCCAAAGCGGGGCAGCTGGTGCTAGTCGATGCAGCAGGCGCTGACGATCTAGAGTGACCGGTTTGGGGCGTGTTTTCTGTGCTTTGGCACAGGTAGATACCTCACGATGAAGGAGCCATGTGGCGAGCCTATCCAAGATCCTAGTCTCGAAGCTGTTGTCTCTGGCTCTGGAGTCGAGGCAGCGCCAGGAGTTTGGAGCCCGTCGCCGAGGAAGCCGAGGCCGCGCCAAGCTCGCGCCCTTTGAAGCGCCAAGCACTCTTCACGTCTTCACATCCGAATCCCGGTCTCCGCTTTGTGGGCTTCTAGCATCTTGCAGATTCTTGCAGTTGCATGTTGGTCGTGGCCGGCCTGTCAGAGTCCAGGCTATGCTGGTCAGTTGACGCGGAGCTATCACTTGCTTGAGCTGGTCTATACGCATATCATCGCATATCGTATATCATTAGCACAGCGGGTGCACCAACGGAATAGCCATTGGCCCGCACTACCCGTCTCGTCGTAGCCAGCTGCTGTGCTGCTTCAACTTTTCGCGGCTGCAGAGACGATGTGGAAACAGCAGATACAGCAGCACGCAACTTGATTTGGCAGGCAGTCTTCTGCCTGGTGAGTAAAGCTTCAGTCTGCGGAACTTGATCAGATTGGCGAACATACGAAAGTCAGCCAACGCTTCAGTATTTCCAAAAGCTGCGCAACACAAAATGCATGCAATGCTGTGGTAGCATTGCTTGACAAAGCCAGCCCACAGTCTCTTGGTGGAACTGTTTTAGCAAAAGTTCCCAGGCCCGATGAGAGGACATCGCCAGTTCGATTTCCCTTGCGACATCAGGTTTACCAGAGCTGTGACAGCACTCATGCACCTCCTTCAGGCCTGGTGCACTGTCCGGATCAACTCAGATGGTCAAATCTGGTCCCGTTTGATCGCTGTGTACGGGAACGTCAAACTCCAATCTGTTCATGAGGCAATGGCTTGCGACAGGTGCAAAGAGCGTCCTTACCTGGGTTAGACATAATGCAATCTTTCACTTTAACTTTGTCCCAGCACATTGGTGAGCCATGTTATGCAGAAACCATGTAGCTGACCAAACAATCGTCCAGACTGCCATCCCTGTTCCATGGATTCATGACAGCCAATCTTTAAAGTGGTTCTCTACTTTGGCGGTTTGCTTCGGTAGTGGATGCCCATGTTGGCGGAGCCATCGCAGCTTGACTTGCAGACAGACGCAACGTTGCCTGGCTCGTTTTTGTGTAGGCTGCTTGAAGCGTTCTGGGTCGTGTGCCTTTTTTTGGCGGCCGAGGGCCCAGGCCAGCGAGTCCTCCAAAGGAGATGCGCTTGAAAAGAGATGCTTCCTTTGGGTGCGACTGCTATGGTGTGTGGCGGGAGGAGAGACTGAGACGGTGGACGTCCTCCAGCACTTTGCCAATGCGCCGGGACCTGAGCCTTTTTTTCTTCCATCCTGCGGAACGGAAAAAAGCCTTAACAGCTGGAGTTGGACTTCTGGTGCCAGTGCCAGGTCTTTGCACTTGCAAGAGCTCCCTGGCTGCAAGTAAAGGCGAGCACTCCTCCGTGCATCATGCGCTGCAAATGCCAGGCTTGCAAAGCTGTTGCGAGATATCCGGGCAGAGACACCGCCGGTGTCGTCTAGATCCGTGCATGAAGCGCAGGGAGGACTCGAGGCACTCCGTGGTTTTGGCGTACATCTTCTCAGCTTCGCCGCTTCTGCAGGCTGGCCCTGGCCCTGGCCCGGGCGGCCCTGCGCTGGTTCCCGTGCTCCCGATCGCAAAGGTTCCCCGCAGTTCCGACCGGTCCGACCGGGCCGGGCCAAGGGCTGAAAGCCGCGCAGTCGCGAGGCCGCGGAGCCTTTGGAGCTCGGCGAGACAGACTCCAGCTTTCCAACAGGTGGCAGCCTGTCTGAAATCTGAAAGGGCGGCCTCCTTCCGACCTCGTCCAAAGTCGCGCCAAGGTCTCGTGAGCACGTCAGACTCTCTGACGCTGTCAGCCTCCCCGGCTGGGGTTGACGAGGAGTGCCTGAGCTTTGGAACACCAGGGGGTGACTTCGGATTGGGTGATCGCAGCTGAATGCGGAAGACTGCTCCCCAGCGACAGGAGGTTGCACCGCTCTTGTCAGCTGAAGGCGGACGAGACCTGCTTGTGGGTATGCGGCATGTGACATGGGAGTGGTGAGGTAATGCAGAAAGAGAGCTTGCAGAGGGCACACCGGCGGATTCGCCGACGCTGCACGAGGCTCTTAGCAAGCGCTTCTCAACAGCAGTCATGTGGGCAGCTAACCTGCTTTGCTGAACAAGGCCGATGCGGAAGCAGATGTGACACTGCATCCGTCGGCTCTGGACGGATTCGGTAGTGAAATTTGTTTTGTGCAACCAGCGGAACACGCTCATTGATGTTCGCTGCAGGATTCGAGCGAGCCAGGTGCAGGCCATTTGGGTTAGCATCGGGCACTGAGCCGATGGCCGAAAAGAGTCATGTGGCTCAGGTGACGCAGTTGCTCCCTCGGCCCCGCCCGAGGTGCATCCTGCGTATCTCCATTGCTCTCATCTTTCTGGAGCACACGTTTCCGAATTTCGCTCTCAGCTTTTTACAAGGCGATTCTGAAGGAGGCACCGATGGAAGCGGACTCTGCAATGTCCCCAGCCACACACGGTGTGCAACAGGAGCATTCAGAGTTCACCGGTGTCTTTGATTCAGGAGGAAGGTTGCAGGGAAGAAGCAGCAGTGACTTTACCTGAAGGCGGGGGCGGCATGTTGTGTGTTTTGCGGGCACTCGGTGTGGATGGGTCCAGGCGATGCAGGGGCAAGCCTTGCGGAGGTTGCCCCTAAAGCACCGTCAGAGGCCAGGCTTGTGGAGTTGAATCCTTTTTGTGAACTGTGATTGGCAGTTACGCCCAGTGCACCCAGCGAAATCCTGAAGGTTGATTCCGAGCCATCCTCCATTGACCGGTTGGGCTTTTGGCCCCAGCAAGCGGTCAGCTTCCACTCTCTTCGCTGCCGAAGCGCTGCAAGGTGACAAGGAGAAGCAGGCTCTGGCTGCTGCCCATCAAACGCTCACGGAGGCTGGCGCTTTCGCTGCGGTGTGAAGTCAGATACAAGCTCGTGTTCGACGGCACTGCAGATGGCGAAGCTATTGCTTGAAGCGGCAGTGGAATCTCCGGCAGCCAGTCCCCGGCCAGAGGTGCCGACATGCATGTGCTCGAGCATCTTGCAAAGCTCACAAATGCAACTGCTTCCGAGGCCACAGACGACTAGGTTGTATCGTCCCCGGGCTGCGCGTGTTTCGCAGTTGTACTGCCGCCTGTACAGAAAAGCTTTGTGCTGGAACGGCGCTGAAGGGTGGCTCTGGCAAGTAAAGACCCCAATGCCTTGCAGTGTCAGCACCGTGCCGGCCAGATGCGGTCTGACGGCAATCCCAGAACTGGGAGTTGCGGTGTCGAGGCTCTAAGCTGCGAATTGCGAAGTTTAGCGGGCGAAGTACCGTCACAGCAAGGTCAAAAAAGGAGAGGAACCTTCGAGTGTGAGCCGCGACATGACGTGCAACGCTCGTCCAGACTGCAATTATAGCTCTAGACTCTCTAGACTCTAGACTCCAGCAGCTAGCGATGGCTAGACCGGCTGGATTCAGCCGCAGCTGCATCGAGAATCGAAAGCTGCGGCTGCGCGTGGACACGCGATCCCACGACTGCCACCCTGTCGTGGTTACGCAAACGATATCAGCACGAAGAAAGGGACGAGACGCCGTGCTGTGCTCAACGGACTCAAGCCAGACTTGCCTTCCCGACCTGGCAGAACCCGGCACGCCTTATTGCACATCTAGGGCTTGGCAAGATGGTACCCGGGCGAGGCCGAAGCTCGCAAGGTGGACATCCCAAGTCAGCCCGCCATGTGGAGGGGCAACGAATCTGTTCTCGACGGTTAAAGAGGACGTGCACAGAAATGGCACAGTCGCTTGGCGAATGCCAGGCGGGAAGACACGGGCGAGGACATCTCAGAGGCTAGCTCACTGCGAGTTTGGGGTTTTCGATTGGCTGCCCATGTCAGCGGGAAGGTGGCCGCACAGACTCGACACATCTGCCAGAGCCGTTTTAGTAAGTTTTTGAACCCACTGACACGGATCCGATAAATTTTGGATGAGGCACGCTGTTGCCTAGGAGGCTATAGCGGGTATGAAAACAGCAGCTCCGTGGACTTAGCTGTCAGCTTTCAGTCTCCTACTGAGCCAGTGTTCAACTGGAACCGTCGGATTTACGCCAGCGAGAGCCATCGCCGGCCTTCGCCCGACACACCCCCACCGCCCGACACCTTGAGACGAAGCAGCTCGGCTTCAGTTTCGGGATGTCCAGTGATATTCCTGACAGTCTTGCATCATTTGAGCGCTGAGGCGGCACGTTTGCCTCGAGCGATGAGGAGCTTAGCTCTTAACCGCCATGCCCTGAGAGGAAACCGGAAACGCCTGCTTGGGCCAAAGCCAGGCCTTCGGCCTTCGTTTTGACCAGGTCTCTGGGGCAGCGAGTCAGCAGACGCAGGCGACTTGAGCGATGTCTCTTGTGGACGCAAATAGCACGCGAGTCGAGAGGTACGGCAGCGCCTGACGCTGTGGCAAACAGCGATGCACGAGTTGTGCAGCTGGAGGCTGCTTTGGCAGAGGCTCGACGGACGTTCAGGGATCTGGGCTCCGAGCTCTGCAGTTTCAGTCGAAGGCTCATGGTTTGACGGTCATCGATGCAGGAGCGCCGGAGGAGTGTGCAGAAAGACGAAGAGTTGCAGAAGATGCAGAAGCTGATGGCGAAGCTTGAGAGTGACCCTCCTGCAGTCATTCTGGTCCTGCTGAATACGGTAGTGGATGAAGTGAGATCTGCAAGAGCAAAGGTCACATCGAGCAGCAAGCCAAAGATTCAGATCAGGAGCACAAACGGCTGAGCAGCTTGGAGACGGCGGCTTTGACGAAAGCGGCCATGAGTTGCATGCGTTGGCCAATCACACAACGTCCGAGGTGCTTTCTCAAAAGCGTGAGGCAGAAGCTGAGGCTCTGGAGATGAGCTGTTTGTAGCCCAAAGTCCGTGCAAGTCAGCTCTTGGAAAGGAGAGTGACAAAGTCAAAAGGCGACTTGGCTCCGACTCCACTTCGGGTTCGAAGTAGTGGTGTGCTGTTGACGGGTCCCTGCAGAAGACACGGCCAAACATTCGTGGACCGTAGTCGACAATGGCGGGGCGCGCCTTTTTCAGTCAGCAAGGATAAGCTCGGGCAGCCAATAACTGTCGAGCTTGTTGGTCGTGTTCTTTGTTTTTTTTCTGAGTGTGTGAAGCCGCCGGAAATCCCCTGCCGTATGCAAGGTTGGTCCTCGCTCTGGCCGAAACGAAGCGCCTGAAGGCGCAAGTCACGTTCAGAGCTCCAGATGAGATGAACAGCGCCGTTAAGCGCCGTTTCGTGTGGCGACCGGCCGGTGCTGTGAAGGAAACCGCCGAGAAGACCGCTATAGATGAAGGCGAGCGAGCGTCAAGGCAAGACGGCTTCCAGTCCAGGAGTCAGCCTTTTGGTCCGTCTTGCATGTAATTACCCCGCCTGCACGTCTTTGCTCGCTTCTATCACGAAACTTCCAACTGATCGCAGGCTCGAAAGGCAAGTCTCAGACATGAAGAAGACAGACTTCTTTTCTGCGCCACCGCCCCAAATGATGGCTTTGCTGCCGTGTTTCTGCTCTAGTGCGGTCTGTGCTGAGGGACATGCAGCCCGTCGCCAACAGCAATAATGCTGAGGAGGACAGGGTCCGCTACAGAGCAACCGCACCTGAGGAGTATGGAGGAGTCAGATGTTTCTTTCTTTCAGGAGCTGCAGCGGCTCCGAGAAGAGTGTGCCGCCGAGCAGCAAAAGCGAGAGGACCTCACGGGGCGCTGTGCTGGACACATCGCCAGCGTGTTGGGCGCATGGAACAGAGGGCCAGTAGGCAGCATGTGCAACATCTACATGAGCAGCCCTTTCGGCACGTGCCGCTGCGACGCAAATGTTTGCAGGATGCAGAAGTGCGCGAGCGGATGCAGAGGGCCAAGATGGAGCAACTTGAAACCCAGCTCCCTTGATGCACGACTCTGTTACAGATTCGGATTTGCGGGGCCGCTGACTCTGTTCGTGCCAGGAAGAGCAAGGTCGTCTGAAGTTTACATTGTTGGACGGCTTCAGATTGGGTGAAAAAATCTGCCGGTACGAGGAGCTCTTACTCGCTAGGTCATGTAGAACACAGGCTGCCTACCTTTGGCTGGCCGTCTGGAATGCCAGTCATGCTGGACTTTGGCACATCTCCTTGCATTTGTTTTTGCGCAACTTACCTTCATTCCATGTCAATCTAGCATGAGCTGTTGAACACTGCTCCTGCCTGTGCAACTTCGGATGCATGCCACAATTCAACAGCCGCTTGCTCCTACTACTGGTACCTACCTGCCACCCTGCTTTGTTAATCGGCTAGGCAGGAGGCAAAGACCGACCTACATACAGGGAACGAGCAAACAACACCAGAAAGAGAAAGCACGAGGAACATAGTATCCTGTGCTGATGTGCTCTGCCAACGTCGAATCCGGCGGTGTACGCACGCAAAAAGATACACGCACTCGCATAGCGACAGCTTTTGTGAGATGTTTATGCGATGTGGTAGCCTGCCAACGACTGTGAGCCACCGCCCGTGCACACATCCTCACAGAAATCAGTCATCAGTGATGTGCTGCAGGCTTTCAGAGGCGACGGCTCGGCAGCAAGTTGCTGCTCCTTGGCTTCCAACGAAAGTTGCAGTCAGAGGCCGCAGAAGAGCTTACGTCTTGCAACGCATGTCGAAGGACGGGGTCGCGATAGCAAAGCAGCTCGAAGAGAAGGAGCAGCGAGTTCAGGACCGCAAGTGGGCACAGCGTCCAACCCAGGGCTCTCCCGCTTTAATGTCCAGTGCTGCAGGAGCTCCTGCAACGTCTGTCCATGACAGAGACGGCGCTGCGTGAGCCGAGCGAGCTGATGCTTTCGGGAGATGCCGTCGCTTGCCAGCGTAGTGCGATTCCTTTGTGAGCCTGCATGCAGCCCAGAGGCGGAGCAAGAGCTTTTGTGAGGAGTTTCCTGAAAGACTGCTGGCTTGACTTGGAACTTAAAGCAAATCAAGCGACGTTAGAGTTTCAAGCACGAAAACCGAAGGGCCCCGATCGCAGCAGCCTGGAAGCTTGCTCTGTTGCCATTTTGGGTTGCTTGCCAGTGCTCCTGCCGTTGTCTGTCAAGCACTCTTCGTGGCAATTGATTCAGGCCTCGGAGAGAGCAACCGAAGCCCCAAATGTTGTAGAAGGGTGGCAAGTGTTTGGCTTTTGCTGACCCTCCCAGGTGGTCGCCGACCTGCACGAGCGCTTGAATTCGGAGGACTCCTGGTTCGGGTGCAGTTTGGTGCGTGGCGTAGCGTGGCCTTGTGGGTTGCTCTGTTTCGACCCGCGTCTCCAGGAGAAGCGTCGAAGAGAAACTGAGGGCCTGGTTGCTGATCGCGAGGGCGAGCTCCCGGGCGGTGAGATTTTGGATGTTTTAGCTGTTACTGGCAGACAGTTTTGTTTCATGGCCTGGCTTGAATGAGTCGAGTCTCGGAGGCGGAGGATGTCGCTTCGTGTAAGAATCGTTTGCCTCGCTGACGGATTGCAAATCTGCGTGCGCTGACGTCAGTCAAGGTTGAAGCACCTGCGCCAGAGATTAAGTGGTGAGGAGAAGGCTGCACCGGGCGGGCGGTGGGCGAGGCCATACTGCCACTTGATTGATCGCACCAGGAACGTCAGGATCGGGATCAGCAGCTGCAGCAGTTCGAGACCAGCCTGCGGGACGTGAAGCGCGAGAAAAGCGAAGTGCATCCCGGCAGCATGTGAAGCGAAAGCTCGGCATGTACGCAGCACGCCGTTGATCGATGCACATCCTCTCTGCAAGCTTCAGGCTCACAAGACTCTCAGCAAAGGCCTGGGCCTCGCAAGTTTCGGCAAAGAGTGACGGAACCGAGCCTACCGCAAGTGACAGAAGCTGCAACCTCTCAGCGAAGGAATCACAAATTGTTGAGCTCCAGCGGCAGCTGGCGGAGGAGCTTGCGCAGAGACAGGCTTGAGCCTCAATGGGGTTTGGGGAAAGAAGGTTTGACGGAAAAGGATGCTCCGCCAGGAAGCACAAAAACACCTCGTGGAGAAGGACTTCGGGAGCACTTCACGATGGGTGCGGTTTGCCGACCGCGTTGCGCATCGTTGCTAGGTTCTAGATCTGGCCACGGCAACCCCCCAGCTTTCTAGTGAAATGAAGCAGACGGGAAGCCGCATTCTGAAAGTGGATTTCAGCAACAAGGCAAGGCATATTCGTTCAACCGGATGTGTTTTGTTGTATGCTGCCACGGCCTTTCCTGTACCTGGGTCCCGAGAAGCCAAAAGTGTTCACGCATCAACACAAGAGCATCGTCGGAATCTGAACAGTGCATCAACCGTCTTGGCAAATGGTGATCTGCGTCTTGTTGAGAGGAAAGGGCCATGAAGGACATGCGGGAGCTGCCACTGGAAAGGCTGCTGGACCTAGAAGCAACGTCGCATCTGCAATAGTTCAATTCTTGGCTGTCTGCGAGTTTCTTGGGTGACCTAAGCCTGTGACTCCCTCGGGAGTTGGGGATTCAGATTCGATTCCTATCACTGTATGCTGTGTATGTCGAGCACGAGTGACAAAATGCTGTGTATGTCTACTGTAGTGACTATAGTAAGTATAGTGTACTCGAGAGTATCGGGCCGAGCACTGCAGAGATGTAAGAGTGCTAAAGGGCTTCAGAAGCACATTTCGATCGAGCGTTCAAGCCCCGTGATTCAGCAATTCTGCTTCAGGCTATCGGCCCAGCAGGCTGTGCAGGAACAGGTGATCGAGAAGGCATACTCATGTGAAAGCATGCCGATGAAAGCATGACGCATGAGTAGGCTCTTCTGGGCATCTCCGCCCTGCCATCAGCCGGACAGGAGCGAGAGGTCTGTAGCCTGCAACAGCAGCTTGCCGACGAGCTCTCGAAGCGCCAAGCTGCAGCTCGGCAGCAGGGCGTCCAAAGTCTCCCTCATGTTAATGCGATGCTGTCTCTTCGCCTCGGAACCCCCGGTGGATGGTGCGGAAGGCCTAGGCGACGCAGGGAGCAGCAAAACTGGCGAATGAAAGAATGTGGAATCATGTGGCTGCACCCGTGACTTCGCAAGAGCACCGGTGCAGAGCTTCGTTCAAGTCGGCATGCTGAAGCGCGATCGACATGTATTGTGTGAATTCTGTGTTATGGCGAGCAGGTTGGGGATGGTTGGACTGCGTCCTGTCTGTTTTGCTACGGAATGCTACGGCGTGTTGCATCTTTGGTATGACTTCCTGGACATGTCATCTTGTCGGCTAAACCTGTAATTTTGTGAATGCCCGCATTAGCACCTAGTCAGGGGCTGTAAACTACTTTCAAGCTTCCTTCCCAATCTTCCTTGCTACCTCTTCTCCTTGCTGCATCTCGTCGAGACAGGGAGCAGTCCTGTTTGCTTGAGAGCTCTTTTCGTCTACAGACCTCGCCTGGTATCGTCCGAATGCGAGTGTCAAAACCCAACAACGGTGACTATGCAACTGCTGACATTCGTCAGACTTGGACGAAGATGCCCGGGCCCAGAAACTACCTCCGTCACACGGCCGCGATGCGAGGCTCCACAAGTGCCGATGAGACACGCTCGCTTCGTGTTGCTGCTGGCGCAGAGATGCAAGAAAGATGCGAAGTCCAACAAGAACCAAAGCCGATTGCAGTCGGGAGCAAGGCTCCGCACCCGATCCGCGTGACAGGTTACAAAGGAAGCAAGCTATACCTTGGCAACAGACGATGCCCGATACGCTATTGCAAAACCACTCCTTGCCGGTGGGAGTCGTTGGGAATGTCAAAGCGGGATGGGGACCTGCAATCAGGTGTGCGTGTATGTATATATATATATATATGTATATATATATATATATATATATATATATATATATGTATATCTGTGTGTGGCGTGCTTTGCACAAAATCGGAGACATGCAGTCCAGCAGCCCTAGAGTTACCAGTTCAGCGGACCAGGATCCAGAAAATAGCTGCAACAGGCTGTCAACTATTGGCCTTGTCCATCGTTTGCCAACACAAGCGTGTTGTTCAGGTTCAGTACCAGATCATTGAGAAGGATCGCGTGATCTGCGAGCTGCAGTCACAGCGCCTGGGCTCAGTGTACTTTCGTTGGCGTGTTCGATGCTCGGCGTGACGCATTCTCGTGAATCGCAGTGATGCCAGAGTTCTCGCCAAGGATTTCTGAGCAGAGTTCCACCACTGGCCCACCGGAAGGATACAACGCGGATGGCACGATTCTTCAGCCCATCGAGGAAGACGGGACTTTAAGTGCTGAGGGCTACGGCTCGATCTCCGTCGCTGCATCAGTGGCCGCGAGCACGGCCCAGGCGACACCAAAGAAGCTTCCTCCGTGGTTGAACTCGCACAGCGTCCGTCAGTCGGTGCCAATTTCCACACCCGCCTCGGCTACTCGGAACACAGCAGAGGTCTGGCTACCTCAAGGAACCTTGTCCAGCATTCTCGATACACTTGGATATACGTGGATCACACTAGCCCTAGCTGGTTCCATGAACGCAGACCGAACAACACACAGCAGTGTAAAGGACAAGTAGTGGAATCAAGCTAAGAACGAAGAGTGAGCAGCAGACCCAGCAGACATAAAGCCTGTTGGACTGGCCTTTCTTTAACTTTCCCGTTGCAGTTTCCCATCCGTCGCTTTGCCCGTTTCTTCTGTGCCCTTTTTGCATTCGCCCACCGGTGGTTTAGGTTCAGATGATCTGAGGTACATTGAACTGCAATTTCATGTTGTTCTGCTAAGGTCAGCTCTCTCATTTATTCTCTTGTCGTTATCTTGTTGTGACGTAATCTGTTCGACGGGTCCGTCGTTCTCTTACCTGGCGAGTTGAGGTGTTGATGATCTCTTGTCGTGTCCTTGCCAACTCGCCGTGAGCACTGAGGAATGGTTTCGCCTTCAACCAGCTTTCAGCCTGGGCGTGTTGGTGTCGTCTCTGGGCCCAGCTACCAGAGCCCAGGGGTCAACTACCGTGCCCGTGTCTATGGTGTGTCTCCAAGACACCAGAATAGCCATTTGCCAACTCATTTGGCACGTCGCCTCGCCCAAGGGGCGTCGACCTTCACATAATCAAATGGTCATGTCAGCAAGTGGCTTAATTCGGAGACATAGCAGTCTCTGTATAAATTGTAAAAGGCAACGAACTATTTCTGCGAGCCACTGCTGGACCCTTTTCTTTTATACTCGTTTGCCGTTCAGGAGGGATCTGAGTTGTGATCACAGCTTTGGATCTCTGCAGTTGTTCCGCTGAATCGCGGAGGTATCGTGCTTAGAAGCACTCGTTGTAGCGGATCCTGCCGCAGGGGCACTCATCGAAGACAATTTGGATGGACTTGTCTTGCAGTGCACGTTCTATGTGAATTTCTGCTAGCGGTGTGCTGGAACACTATTTCGACAGGCACCCAGGATCCACAGCACACGTCTAGCGGCTAGCGCCAGGTCATGCAGGGCATGACATTGCACCCCGTTCCAGGCGCGAGGCCGTGGCTAGTTTTCAGGAGAGGCTGAAGCCTCCAACTCTGACATAGCTCAAACAGACCTCACCATGCTCCAGCGACGGAAAAAGGTGGAGAACAGGCTCAAGCAGGCAAAAACGTGCCACGACACAGCATAGGGTGCCAAAATGCGAGGGCCTGGCAGACGATCCCTGGCGAGACTGTGAAGCTCTCGGTAAGCCGCCTTGATTCGCTGCTCCAGAATGCGAGTCGCACGAGGCGAAGACATAGCCAGGGAGGAGTGCTGCGCTGCCGCTGCGCCGCTGCGCCGCCTCTGTGAAGCTCCCGGCAGGACATGATCTCCTTCCTCGCCGACTTTGCCAGGTTGAAGTCCGGACTCCGAGAGAGACAGCAGTCTCCCAGGTAAGGCCAAGGCGAGAGCTGGAGTCGAGATGTCACCCGAGGCAGTACGAGGATGCACAAGCTTGGGCGCACGAGGCCCCTGGACTCTTAGCAGGTGGATGTTGGCATCTGTGTGTTGCAGGCGCTCCTCCGACTGGATGATGACTGGACTGGAGATATTATCAGAGGCGGGGGGGGGGTTGAGCTGGCAAGCAGCTTCGACCGCAGCGGCATCTGCTGCAGGAGGAGTCCTTCCCGGCATAGAAAGCTCCAACAAGGCTCGCGGTGCTGCCCCAATGCTTCCATGCCTGCCCTGTTGCTACTGGCGAATCCTCTTTCGGAGGCTTCAGACACGAGAGTGCGGCAGCTGTTCGAGTCTCACGTTTCTCGAGATTCTCGGCATGAATCATGACTTTTGGCCGCAATTCCTTGCTCAGGCGTGGATGGGGTTGCCCCGCTACTGACAAGTCTTGGCCTCAAAATGTGCAAGGAAGATCCAGCGGCCAGAGGGCAAGTCCGCATGGCAGCTACAAGCGGCTGGGGATGGTATGGTACCATATGGTACCTGTAGGACTGTAGGAGATTTTTTCGCGTTCTTTGCACCGACAGGACGATCGAACTTTGTCGAAGCAGCTTTCAGTCGGAGTCGACGATGTCGAGCTCAGGCAGGGCTGGGCAGGGCTGGGGGGACGGCCAAAGGAGCGAAAAGTGCCCGGTACCTTCGACCCGGCTAGGTAGTCAAAGCACAGCCGCGAGCCCAGCTCGCTGGTATCTGGTATCCTTCTGTTATGAAACAGCTTTGAGCACGTCAAAAAGGCTCCTTCTGGCTACTCCATTGCCAGAGCCTCCAGACATGAAGATGAGAGAAGGTGTCTGCAGGCATTGTCTTTGGCTGCAGGGATCTTCGCATGCAGACTCCGGTCGGCCACTCAATGAAACCGGCATGATCTGCGACTTGATGCGACTTGATTTCGCGGCAAGAGGACGGATGTCGCTTCATCCCTGACTCTATAGCCTTCTGAGTCTCAGACCGTTGAACGACGGAGCGTTCCTCAAGAGAGTGGGCCAGCCCTGAACTAGAAGCACGAGCTGCAGTTGCTGCAGCGATCATGATTACTGCCATGCATCCAAAGTATCCAACGCGCAAGCAAGCATGCGATGATTTGCGCACGTTGCAATGGCTTTCCTCTCGGGGCTGCTTTTGTTTTGCAGCGTCACACTGAGTTTCCTGTACTACACGCTGTGGGTATTGTTGTTGCCGATGTGGGAGCCCGAAGATGCTCCATGGCTGCATGCAGCGTTCCCCCCACGCATCTGGGCGTTGAAGATTCCGGGCCTGATAACCATAACCCTGGTTGCCGGCTTGACGCTATTCGTGGGCCTGGTGCTCGCTGGAGTGGTCGGTGAGGAAGCCAAACAGGTCAAACATCACTAGCCGCCGACCGCAGCTGCTTCCCGAATGGTGGGCAACCCGTGGCCGTGATCCTGCCCGCACGCTAATTCTAGCAAGATGCAAGATGTACGAAGTGGACGCAGCTGGGACCGTACACAGAAGGGCGGGCTGTCGCAGTCGCCAGCAGAAGCAGCTCCGAAGCAGCTCGTCAGAAATGGATTGCAGCCCCGGGGAAAAGCTTGTCTGCCGCGCGTCGCAACTGATGGTCTGCAGCCTCACGAGGCACAGAAAGTGCAGAGTTCTTCGTCTTGTCCAGGTCCGATGAGTCCTCTCCTTTGGAGGACACCAGCTGAAATGAGCCGTTGTTCTGTAGTCGCCGAGCATGACCACGACATAGAAGCACTGCATACTGCATGCTGTTTGCGTTGACTTGGTTGAACTGCAGGAATACGGAGAGACCGCTGAAGGGCTGGGGATCGCCGGGCAAAACAAGGCCGGCAACATCCAGCCCACCCTCAGCCAGCTCGAAGTTCTGATTGGCAGGAGACTTCCAAAAATGCCTCGTGGTTGGGAGCCTGTGGACCAGAGAGGCCCGAGACACGGGAAGGTTTGTTGATCCTAGGTGTGCCCAGATCGCTTCGACTGAGGCCCACTCAGCCCCATGACTTGGCCAAGGCCAAGGCTCGGGTTCAAAGCCACGTGAAGAGTCGGGAGGCTCTACACTGCCAGACTGCCAGGCCCGAGGATCCAAGGGATACCAATACACCTATCGCAGGCATTGGAAGCCAGGAAGCGAGTGGCCGGCGTGATTCGTCAAGCCTTGTTACTTCTCAGGCGAAGCTTCCGAGAGCGGGGGTGATGGGCTGCACGGCTGCAGAAGTATCAAGGCAATGCATGTCAACAGCTGCCGAAGCCACCATTGGCTTCCGAGGTGGATCAGTGCTGTGTGGACAGGCTTCACACTCGCTTCAGGGGTGTGTGCTGAGCCAATCAGGGCTTCATGCTGCATGTCGGTGGCTTCGCATGCCCAGGAGCAGAAGCAGAGACCTATGATGTCTTTGCTGTGTGCCTCGTGCTGCCAGGAATCTGGAGCTTTGCTTCTGATCCCAGCGCGCCTTTCACTCAAAAGCCCAGAAGGAAGCAAGCGAGACATTGCTTTCCAGTGCTTTGCCATTTTTTTGAGGTCCTCGCCGTCTTAGAGCTGAGACGAGGCCCTTGCCCTGTGCCTTGCCTTGTTTTCTGCCAAGTTCGGAAGGCTGTAGGAGTGTAGGAACAGAAGTGTTCTCGAGGCGGGCCAGTCCTTTCTTGCCTGTGATCAGGCGGAAGGTTCAGGATTAGCGGAGCCATGTCTCTTGCAGTCTGCGAATCCATTTTCAAAGCTGAGTGCGATGTTTCACTCTTGGCGGAGCAGCCAGGAAATTAAGATCAATTAAGTGACATGACATGTCAGTTCTTCATGGGCGCCATTCAGCCCTGCGACACCCTGTCCCAAGTGCATAAGCAGAATGGTTGCGCACTCTGTGAAGCGCTCTTGTCAAGTTGAGTTTGTTTCTGGTGGGGACAGGGGTGGGGGTGGGGCGATGGCTGTCTTAATAGGAACACAGGTGCTTTGTCTTCGCCATGCTGAGTCACACTCGCTCGAAGTCGTAAGTTTGTAGAACGAGGAGGGCTATGCAGAGGCATTCGAGTTACGAACCATTATGCACCTCTGTGTCAAACGAACTAGTCTGCACCTGTGTGTCATGAGGCAGCTTCGCCGATGAGCCAAGTATGCTAACGGTTTATGTTTCTACGAGACGTACAGACGTACAGGTAGATCCTGATTGGGTCATCCTGCGCACTTGAACTTGAGACCTCACTGCTTCGGGGCAGATCTGCGTTTAAGTGGAGAAAAGTGTATGACATGGCGATTGAAAACTTCTTTCTTCGGTTCCCTTTCTGCAGGCATCCAAGGTTACGACTCAGAGGTTGACTGCTTTTGAACATAATGCCGCATTTCTGCTTAAAAGCTTCGAGGGGGAGCCGGGATCGTGGCGTTGACGATCCAAGGCCAGCGAGCATGCGACGGATCTCTGTAAGATTATGAGCAAGTCTCTCCTCCCGCACGCCGTTGAGGCCCGTGCTTGGCGGGCATGGCGCCTGGTACTTCGCACTTCGGCAGCAGGTCGAGTCGAAGCGTTTGAGATTCCGCAAGAAGGTCAGCTAGGGCACGTTGGTTTCAAAGGTTTTGGCCTGGAGGCTAAGATACAAGATGTTTCAAGACACTATAGAGTCACTAGACGAAGGCAGTGCGTGCGTGCACGTCGCCCTCCAGTTGTCTCTTGTCGGGCCCAGGATCGATTCGAAGAGGTTCGCGCCGGTTTTCGCATGACAGGAGTAAGATTGCATAGGTGCCTGTCGAAAGGCCTGCCTGCAACGAAAAAGTGGAGGTATGGGTCAGGCAGAGACACTTGGAGGCGGGGACAATGCCTTTCTCAGCGCAGCCTTGAAAAGTGACTTCGAGTGCAGGCGCACAAGCAAAAGGTCGCAAGGCGTCCCATCATGTCCGATAGTGTTTTGAAGTTGTTCGCAGTGAGGTGCCAAGTGCATCGTTCTTGGACGGCTCAAGAACCGAAGACGCCTACATGCTAGGATGCCTGTCTCGGCCTGCGCCAGGTCTCGATCTTTGATCAACAATCAGTGGTCTGTGCGTAGGGCGCCCGGATCGAGCCAAGCGGATTTGCAAGTGCAGCGATTCGGTCCTCGTACTGTGAGTTAACTGCTTGTTTGTTCCGGTGACGTTCGGTTTTGACATTCAATGGGGCCCCAGAGTACATGAACAGCGGCACAGGTGGAGGCAATTCAAACTTTCGAGCTCCCGCTGCTTTTGTCATGGTAGATGTTTTGGGCTCAGCTTGGGCTGTGGAGCCTGGGAGGCGAAGAAACAAAGCTGCAGCCCACGCGGTTCCGCAACGCCAAGAAGGAGCAGATGGCTGAGGACTTTGGCACTTTCTCATGGTTGAAAGCTTGAAGACTGCTTACGCACCACTAAGTCTGGAGCCTTGTGACCGCAGGAGCGCTACTCAAGCATCGAAAGGGAGAACCGCCGCTTGCTCACCCGGATGCAGGAGGGGGTCCGCTCTTTGGATGGAGCCATGGTTCGAGTGCGGCCGAGTGCGGTCTCGAGGAGATCGAGCGCAAGGGCTCGCAGAAAGCCGTTGCAAGCCTGGTCCTAGGCTCGCAGTGGCTCCTCAATGCAGCACACGTGGAGGCATGCATTTATGTTCAGTTCCGGCTATGAGAGGTGCAACTGGTTCAACCGCAACGTCGGGGACTGAGTGCAAGCTGCTGCGGAATGGATTCAGTTGCGTGAGGGACTCTTGTTTTCTTCTTTTGTGCCAAGGGTTCAAATGCCTGTATATAGCCAGGCCTAGTTCTTTGCAATGCCCAGCTTGCGACGTGCCGCTGCACTGATCCCTCTTATTTGCCTGCTCGTGATCGTTCACGATGTGGCGAGCGACTGGATTTCTGCATTTATTGGCGTCCAGGCAATGAAACGTAGTCGCGATGTGCGGGTATCGGCACAGTCCGCGGAGCTGGCGGCAAGGTCCCGATACGTCCCCGGCCGGCGTTTGGCAGGCAAGCGCCAGGACACCAGACCACCTTATGTACCGGAGGCGAACAATCGCCGCAAGATTGCGTGGCTACTCATCCTGTCAGGCCTTGCTGGCTACCAGGCAGGCAACAGCTTCTTGGACGAGCGCTACGAAGCCAATTCTGCGCCGGAGTTTGTGTATTCCTCACCTGTCATTGAGAAAGGATGCGTCCTGATGGCGCGGCCGGGTGACACATTTATCGATCACCAGCAATATTTCCACAAGTCAGCAATTCTCATTCTCAAGCACGGCGGGGAGTTCGATAAAGGCATCATCATTAACCGCCCTTCGGGGTTCAACACTCGCCAGCTTGGAATGCCTGGCCCGCCATGGAACATTTGGTTTGGCGGCGACTGCGAGGGCCTTCGTGCACCCCACTACACCCAAGTCAGAACTTTCTGTCTGCACGTGTCAGAAGAGTTTGCAGAGGTTTCGACGGAGGTTGAAAGGGGCGTGTATTTGATCCGTTTCGATGCTGCGCAAGATCTGGTGGGCCAGGGGCGTGCCACAACAGACGACTTCATGCTGTTCCCCTGCGTGTTTGTTTGTCGTTGTGTACTGCTGGTACCGTAGTAGGAAGCTTGATCTCCACGACTTTTCTAGTAAGTCACTAGTGCAAGAACCAGAGGATCTTGGCAAGAGACTGCTTCCTGTTGTCCTAGTAGCGGATCGCGGCCGGACAGGTTCTTTGGCTACTGCGGCTGGGGACGCAATCAGCTCCAAAGAGAACTGGATGCTGGAGTGTGGAAAATGGTGCCCCGGATGACATGATCACGTTTTGGCTCGCTTATACCGCTTGGTGCTACCTTCTTTGGTGCTGGTGGTGGTGGTGGTGGTGGTGCTGGTGCTGGTGCTGCTGCTGCTGCTGCTGCTGCTGCTGCTGCTCTGCAGCTGCTTTGCTGCTGCTGCTGCTGCTGCTGCTGCTGCTGCTGCTGCGCTGAAGTATCTCAGCAGCGTGTCGACGCAGCGGGCCGTTGAATGCTGCGTGTGTCTCTGTCTGTCTGTGTGTGTGTGTGTGCGTGTGTGTGCGAGTGTGCGTCGCGGCATGCACAGGCTAGCGTCGACAGCCACATCATCGTTCGGGAGCTTCGGGAAGAAACCAAAGAGCTGAGAGCCTTGCCGGAGGTTGGACTGGACGATGGTATTGGGCTCTGGCGCCATTTGCCGCTCTTCTTGCAAGATGTGGTTCCCGATCTTTTTACTGTCCAAGCTTTGAAATTTTCGACTTGCAGAATTGAGACGTCAGATCCCGCTACCCACTTCTCCGGTCCGTTCCAAACACATAAAAACCGCCTCGCAACACCCTGAAGTTTGTAAACACGCCCAGGTATTCGCGCATTGATGCGGGCATGCCACAGAAGGATCCCCGAGAAATGAACATGATGGGCATTGATGCGGTGGAGGGCGATGCATTCGCAGACGCCATGCTCCGGCAATGGCTTATTCAGAACTTAACCCCGCCGTGACAGTTCAGACGCAGTTGGTGCCGCCATCCGGTATGATGTGCTGGCAAGAAAGCTTTCATTGTTTCATCAGCCCGGATCTTCCGAATCGTCACATGAAGGGCGAACTTGTACATGCCAACCTTGCAGCAAAAGACTGCTCGAAGCTTTCCTGCATGCCTTGTACAATACAGATGTTCGAACCAACTTAGGCAGGCTGCCGGATTACCCTCGTGTAGGAGGTAGTCCAGGCCTTGAAAGTTCACCTCGAGGTGCTCGAGGACCTTTGAGTTGCAGCAGAGCGGTGCTACGCAAGTTCCAAACGATGGTGTTGCCTCGCAAACGGGCCCGACGGCCCCACAACCCGATCGCCAAAGCTCCCGATGCTGTCTTCCTAGGCGGCAAGTGAGCCAGGGCCCAGCTGGCTCCAGAGCCGGGCGCAAAGGCTCTTGACTGGTGCCTTTCATGGCGACACAATGCATGCAGTCTTTGACACCACTTCCTGCGCAGCCTTTTCAGCATTCCGAGATTGTCCTGAAGATGCATGAGGACATTCACATGGCTCGGGGACTTCATGACTCTTTAGAAACCCCCTCCGGCTTTAGTAGTGCCTTGGTTCCGTGTGTATACCACATCAGCCAGGAAGTCGCAGTTCCTGGTCAGCCAGGATCCTGAGGCACTTGGAAGGCGTTCCGGCAATTGAAGCGACAGTGCCGTTGCCAAACTCTTTAGCAACTCACACTGCTTCACAAAACACCCTGCTGCATTGTTTGGGGGAGTTCCCCGTAGCTGGTATAGCCACCACCACTACCCACCGCAGACCACCGCACAACTCTCACCGGAGAAATCGGGAACACACGGTTGTGGCTATGCGCGGCCGCTGCGGCCATCATGGTGCATTTCATTGGAGCAGCGCCGCGACGTGAGGGATGCATCTAGGTGGCAGTCGTTGACGATTTGCTCGACGATTCTGAACGCGCCGAGCTGCAACACACAGCAAGGCCTTGTGCCATCAAGCTGCGGCTTCACGAAGCACGTGGTTTGAACTGTGACCGCGACGAGGCCGTCTTGTGCTCTTTGCATGGCGCGGCCTACTCCACTTTCTCTCGATCTCCTCTGCAGGATGGCAAGTACGTCGAGGTTTCCTTTCACGATCATGTGCGGATGTCGCAGAGGAGTGTTGGCTCACCAAGCAACCCTGCATCTCGGCTGACATGTCGCGCTGGTGAGTTCAGCAAGCATTGTGCATGGCTGCAGGTTTGGGGAGACTCGGTCATGTCCATCGAACTCACGGATGTCTCCCGTCTTTGCTTACTATTATTGCGAGAGACCGGCCGAGGGAATGCAGCTAAACGGGGCTGACTCTACAAAAGTCGATGCCACGATTCTTTGAAGTCAGAAGTGTTGACCACCGTTGCTTCTGGCAACAACATCGACATCTTTGGGCAGATGTAGCTGCTACTGAAAAAGATTGGATGTATAGTCGCGTAAGCTGCCCTTCTTGTCATCAGCTCATGCGTGATTGAATCTGACCCGAACGATTTCGCACCTCATTGCCAGCCTTGCGTTCATCTGGCATGCGCGCCACGTCTCAAGCAAAGGACTTCCAACTGCAAGACTATCCTTTGCGCTTGGGAGTTTGCAGCTCTGACGCAGGCGAGAGAAGAGCACGAACGTGCGAGAAAGATGGCACTCCTTATTTAATCTTTAAGCCAGACTTCCCTGCATTGTCTTGTGCTGTTTGGAGGACCACCAGACCATGGCTTTGTCACCATCAATCTAGAGCAGATCTTGCACAGCCGCACGGAAATGGATCCAGATGAGCCTTGCTTCCTTACGTGAATGCTTGATAGCAGATGCGCATGATCTGATGCGAATCGCATCATCCGTCTGTGCGCTGGCTTCTGAGGAAGTGGTGAGCATGAAAGGCTGGTTCCCGTTGTTCGACACCATGACGGGCGTGCGCGGTCACATTCTTGCAGCTTTCTCAGACAGATTCTTGAGGTCGTGGCAGAATTGCATACGACACTGTCTTGCCAGGTCTCTATCAAGATGCAGTTTGTCGGGGATCAGTCATACAACGACCGCCTGGTGGCTGCAACGAAAGAGTTGGAAACAGTGAGCAGATTTCGAGCACTCGAGCATCTTAGTGGTTCCAGGTTGCCCTTATGTGTTGTCTTTATATTTTGCTGGTTGAGGCAATCCAGAATCGTCTAGAGGTTGGAGTGAAGCAAATTGATTCTCTGAGGCTTCGCCTCGTCTGTCGGTGTGCGCTTCTTCTCCATTGCTTGTCCCCCGCAGCCGCCGCCTCAGCCCCGTAAGCAGCAACCCACTGCTCTAAGACAGAACCGCGTGCTACAACAAGCTTAACACGGCATATATAGATACCAAGATTAGATGATAAAGCGCCGGAACCGGTAACTTTGTACCGGGGTAGTGGGACTGCAGAAGACGGGCATGTCCCTGCGCCAGTTGCGTGCTGTCAGAAGGCCGGGCGTCTTCGTCGTGGAGCAAGTGCTCGGCTTGGTGAAGGAGCTTCGCGCAGTTCAGGACGGCCTGGTGTAAGCGGCCTTCTGTTGCCTGCTCCTTCGTGCTTGTAGCCGGATCAATTTAATCTTGGTCCTTGTCTTTTCGCACGGCGAACAGAATGTTCAGGAACAACGCATGGAAAATCGATCAAGCAAAGAAGAGCACGCTTTCTCCTGCGTGCTGACATGGGAAGGGCGTCAGAAGCATGTCGGCATCCAGGCCTAAGAAGATGATTTTGCGGGTTTTGCTTACTTCCAGTTAAGTCCAGGACCCAGAGTACAACTGGCGTGACCTCATTCGGTCGGACCGCTCGTCCAACGAGGAGCGCCTCAGGCCTTCCGAGGATACAGGGTATAGGCTGCCGAATAGAAGACTAGGCTTTGCGCCGACGTCGTACTGGACGTGAAGCTCGGTCTACCAGTCTACCAAGAGCATGAGGCAGCACGCTTGCATGGAATCTTTGTAGCATCCCATGCAGGGTGTTCCACAATGCGGCGATGCGCGCGCGGCGAGAGCTCGGCAAGCAGGTGGGATCGGCTGCTCTGGTGGTAGCAGTGCAGCAGCATGTGTTTGCATGCTTTTGCCTGTCAGGTGAGACGCCTCGGTGCAAATGCCAGCGGCTTCATCTGGCTGCTTCCGGTGGCCTCAAGAAGGGATATCTTGACTTGAGGCAGTGCTTGGGTACCGCGAGTATGTCGACCTCGAGGGTGACGTCGGGTCCTTCTGCACGGTGGCGGGACTGTTGTCTGTGCTGCATCTGGCAAAGGCAACAGATCGCATTTGCATCCGAGCCTTCGGCACTGCTGCGTCCTGTGCTCAGAAGCCGATGCCCTGCGATGAGAGGCGCTGCGGGCAACCGAGCACCCTGAGGCGCATTCTGCCGACCAGCGCGGCCGGCGGCATGGTCAGCGGGCTGCGACAGGGAAGCTTCGAGGTCCAGGTGGTGGCACCCAAATGCCCCAGAACACGCCGGCGGGGGCCCATGTCGCAATGCACTGTGCCAGCTTGGGCGGTCACCTCGACGTCGTGATGGAGACATCGAAGGGGCATTTCCGCCACTGCCGCTTCTACCTGCGACTTCAGGCTGGAGCAAGTTGTTGCACCTTCTTGCCTCCGCTGCCTGGATTCCTGAATGAGCCTGAATGCCTGAGCGTGCGAAGATCGCATGAACGAGACCCAGGCGGAGCGGCCTCGGATGCCCTCCTTAGCCAAGCCGTGTCCGTGACGAGGAGCAGCCTCTCGAATGCACACAGCCGCAGGGGAAGTTTCCGTAACAATGGCTATCAAAACCGGCGATGCAGTTGCAACCTGTTTGTCTCCTTTGTGGGACACACAGCACTCCGCTTTCTTCCCTTCCGTTCCGCTCGCGAGGCGATGAAATCAGCCTCGGTCCTGGTCCAAGCAACGACTGTGGCGGCCGTGGTCTGTCCTGGCATGCCTGCGGCTACTCGCTGAGGCGGCAGCGCCGTAGATGCCTTGGCTCCGACTGTGGAGGTGCTGCAGCGAGGCTTGCGACTTTCGACCAAGTATCCAATCGACTTCTGGCGCCGTGTCTTGCGAGTGGAAGGTGTCTTGCATTGCCTGGATCGGCTACCAGTAGCTGAGATTCTCGGCCGCACGGAACAGACAGGTCGCTCACTAGCCGAGAAGGCGGCCAGCCCGTCTGATGCCAACAGGAGAGTTGCAATCTGCGGCGTCGTGGCAGCGCGTGCGGTGAAGGTGTTCAGCTCGCGCACGACGCAGGAGGGGACCTGGATAGGATATGGAAGAACCATGGAGAGCCACAGCCATGTCCTTTGATCCGGAAGATGTAGAATCTGACGACTGTCTCCGGCAGGACAGCCGTGAGTCGTGGTGTCTTGGCAGCGCTGTCTCGTAGTTGCTGGGCATTGCAGCTCCAACCCGTGTGCTTTCAGGTGGGCCGACTTGCAGGAAGAGCTGCTGTCGCACGTCCGGGGCTGAGCTCACAACAAAACTGAAACCGCGTTGGTGGAGTTTGGTGACGCAGCTGTATGAGCAGAGCAGTGTAACCCTTTGTCCGCGCAGTTTGAGGCCCGTGCTCTCGGTGGCGATTCCATTGCCAGAGCTCTTAATTGTTCGAGGAGGGTTCACAGCAAGGGCAATGCAAAGTTGCTTACCCTGCTCAACTTCCGAGGTTGGCTACCGAGAACACGTGTCTATCACTGATGAGGTCAGAAGTCCAAAGCTGAAAGCCCATCGCTGTAGGAGTCGCATCTGCAGCGCCCTTCGCTGGAACCTGTCACAGGTGGCGATGCTTTCGGTGACGGGAACGGCACTACGGCACCTGCACACTGCCACGACGGTGCCTAGTTTGCCGGACTGAAGTATGTCAAGTGATGCACATGCATCAAGTCTTCATTGCATTTCCCGTCATTTCCAATGTGCATGCTGAGAGGACTGCAGCCTTGCGCATGCCTCCGAAAGTCTGCGACCTTATCCTTTGAAGCAGTTTGCATTGTGGCCATGGGCGCGGGCGAAGTCCCTTCGTTGGAGCAAGGCCGTGATGATGCGGGACGTTTGTCTCGTTGCTGCATGTGCTTTGGCTGCATAGGTGAGAGCAGTGACTTCTGATTTCTGGAGAGTGGGGTGGAAGACAGGTGCGGGGAGGGCTTGGTGCCGAACGTTCTCCTGGCCGCGCGGCAGACAAGAGAATTTCTTGAAAAGAACCGAAGGTGTCGAACTGGCTTTGAGCTGAGGCGACCTCGGACTTCCCCGAGGGCCTGCCGATCCTTGGAAGGAGACCACGGCTTCCTGGGCCGGGGGCCAGGGGCGGGGTTGCGCAGTGCGGAGGAGCGAGCTGGTGGAGGCCCGCGTGGTGCGCCTCAAGCGGAAGGTGACCGGTGAAGCGCATGCCCAGGAGAATGTCACGTGACGTGCATTTCCGGCTCTCCGGAAATGTCGTTCTTCCGATCAGGACCTGTCTGAAGCGTTGCCCTTCCTCGAGTTAGAGCTGCACAAGCAGCCGAAAGCTGAGCCGACCGATGGCGTGAAGCGACCGATTCTCAACAGACCGCGGGGCACTTCTCTGAGGCTTGTGCACAAGATGCGGGCTGCATCCTCAGTTTTGGTGCTATTCTCCTCCCAATGTGTGTAGCTGAGGTCATGGGGCTGAATGCCGCGTTTGGCCTCCGTGTGGAGATCTCCAATGGTCCGTCGCTCCTCGGTGGTAAACCCTTCAATGTTCTAGCGGCTAGATTCTAGAGATTCTAGCGGCCTCCCTGTAGTCGAGACCGAGGTGCCAGGTCAAATATGCCGGGTGCAAAACAGCTTGGATCGTCCGGCTTTGCATGCTTTGTCAGGTTGCTCATTGGAGTTGCTACGGCCACAGGAGTCTTGGTGCCCTGCTGAGGTCTGTGGAGCCGTGCCGGCAGTGGTGAGGGATGTTTGTAATCTGAGGTGCCTGCCTTGCCGCGCCCTCCGGTGGTCAGGGCCAACCCGGGGCGCTTTAATCGAGCCTTCACTCCGAGCGATGCTCCGAAGAGTCAAGGCTCGGGTCCTCGGGGCCCAGGTGCAACGTATAAAAGAGAAGAGCATATCGTCGCATACCGAGGTCATCGTACGGTAGGCGGGACGAGTTTCCGCACGAATGCCGAAGGCTGAGGCGGTGAGAGCAGTGCGTACGATGCGTCCCAACCGCTAGAGTCGGAGGGTCGCCAGAGTCCCTCGGCCCTCGCCAAGGTTGGTGCCAAGACGCCAGCCTCGAGCGCTCCGAGCATGCGGACTCGACAGGCGGCTGGCGCCCAATGGCTCCGAGGCGCGAGTCATCGGGACATTCTGCAGCCAAGTAGGCCAAGTGTGTCTTGTGGAGGAGTTCAGCAGGATGCAATGAGCCATGCCTCAAGCTTACTTCTATTCCTCGGCAGCGTGGTGATTGCAGACATGGTCCTCTGCTTGTTTGAGGCATCTGCCAACCCTACCTCTCCACCAATGGCTACTTGGCATTTGACAGTTCTGGCATAGAGGTGTTGGACTTCAGTGGCGATGCGGAAGCACCGCTCGACCTTCGACGCTATACAGGGCAGGGAAGCACAAGAAAGGACAAGCATGAGAGGGAATGAGGATGCGGGAAGGAGCAGCAGAGAGCACGACAGGCAGGATGAGCAAGAAAAGAAGGAATGACTGGAAAGAGGGGAGTGCAGAAAGACGGAACCCAAAGAGGAGCATCGCACCCACAGGACCAGAATTCAGGCAAGCGCCCCTGTTTGCAAAAGCTGTCTTTGCAGAACTTGCGCAGCGAAGCGATGAGTTTGGCACAACAGCTGGGCCTCGCCGAAGCTCGCGATGTTTGCCGAGGGAACGTCTGCTGCGAGTGGCTTCAGCCGTTCCGTGGGCCAGACGACGAAGGGAGGCGCCTTGGCGACATGGTGCAGGAGCTCAGTAGCAAGCAATGCCATCTTGGAGATGTCTTGTGACTTGTGCTAAGGAGCCACCGAGAAAAACTCCTGGCGCAGCCTTGCGTGCAGGGCTGAGAGGCTGAGACCTGACTCTTCTGGACTGGACGCGACTGGACAATCCCGAGCTGAGCCGAGGCTGTGCCCGGCCAGGCATCGCCCGCCTTCTCGACCCTCACGGGCCTGGAGGAAGTGGATGCCAAGATTCCTGGGTCGCTTGCCTCGAATCGAAGACTTCGGACTGCGAAGACTTGTGGATCAAACCTCTACGAGGTAGCTTCTTCGGGGCGGCACCGGTTGCTGGACCAGACCTGGGGTTTCTCTGAAAGCAAACGGGGCCGGTCACTGTGGTGGGAGCGTTTTTCATCACTGCTTCATTTTGCTACTCTACTCGTTTCTCATGAGATGCTTCGACGTCTTCATGTCCAGAGTGTGAGCCTGTTGCAAGATTGGTCGCCTGGTGCAGCTGATGGGGGACATTAGGAGTTGCATGATGTCGCTCAGGCACAGCCGGCCATTGGCTGCCAGCACAGTTTCCCTCCCGATGCGGCCGACACCGGAAGTGCTGGAGAGACTGAATGAAGCGGTGGCTCCTGGCTTGGATAAGTGATTAGAGCCTTGAAGCTTCATGAGCAGGGGACGGCGCACATTTGTACCTGCTCTCATCAGCCCAGGCCTGCCATTTACAACGGCGCAAAGGTGACAGCTCAGCACCGGCTGTGGCAGATTCCTTCGATTGGCCGTTGGACCCTCTGCTCTGAACTCATCGGCAGCTCGGGAACTTGGGGCGATGATATTCGGAGTCGACGGATGGTCCAGTGCAGTCATTAACAGCTTGCTTGCCATGGATCGATTTGAAAGGCATGCTTAAACGGAGTATGGTACCTGGATTGTAGGCAGTGCTCTGTTTCGTCCGAGCCAAGGACAAGCTCCAGGCTTTGCAGCTCACTTGCGCGACTCTCTGCCGACAAAGGTCAGGTCAAGATGCGGAGGCACTGTATCCGCTGCAAAGCGTATCAAAGGGTTCTGGTGTACACTTCGAGTTTGCAGCTGCCAGGTTTTGGCAGTGCAAACTTCCACTGAAGGCCATGATTCACCTGCTGCATGCTGACTCTGTTGCTAGCTGCTCCTGGGGGAGCGGCGCATCTCTGAAGTGGCACAGGCGGTGAGCGAGAAGCCTCCAAGACTCGCTATCAGCAGGCCTGCGACACTTCGCTATGGTAAACCAGTCTGTTGCAACTGCTTCGAATGATGCGACCAGAGCAGGACGATCGACATCATTTCCTCTTCGAGGTTGCGGCTGAGTTTGATATCTTGTAGTCGGCATGTGAAGTTGCAGCAGAGGGGGGGGGAATGCCCCGAACGAGTGGCACTGTGTCGCAAAGGGTCGAGTCAAGTGGCAGCAGCATGCGCGTGCTACTGTGAAGCCCTCCAGGTCGACGACGAGGCCGGGGGTTAGCATTACCGCAAGTCGGCGCATTGTAAGTATGGTCTGCACTGCCTGGGCTCGAAAGCAAGAGATGTCAGGGTTCTCGTTTCAGGTTCAGATCAGTATCAGAAGCAGCCCACTGCTCTCGTGATGTTGGCTCGAGGCACGAGGAGTCTTTGTATGCGCCATGTCGCGGACCTTCCGGGGTCGGGGCAGTCTCTGCGTGGCCTTGAGCCTTTGCGTCTTTGTATGCGCACTGCCCTGGTCTCCAGCCATGGTGCTGCGGCGTGTGCTGGTCACTGGTGGCAACAAGGGCATCGGTCGCGCTCTCTGCCAGCAGCTGGTCGCAGACCACGGCTTCCACGTGCTGCTCGGATCGCGGGATCCAGGCCGTGGAGAGGAGGCAGTGCGTGCAATCTTGGAAAAGAGCCCAGAATGCATCCTGTCTCATGAGCAGTGTGAAGAGAGGACGTATGTAGCAGACTTCCGATCACGTGACTGGCTGCGGTTTGCAATCGTTTACCAGGAAGATGCCACCGTGTGCTACGCAATGACATAGCGTAGCACGCGGTCGCCTCTTCCTGGCACTTAGGCGCAGATCGCATCGAAACGCTGTCCCTCGACGTCTCCGATGATGCCTCTGTGCGTGCAGCAGTTGAAGAGGTGAAGCAGAAGTATGGGGCAGAGTCGAGCTTATATGGCATTGTGAACAATGCTGGCGTTGGCTTCGATCATTCAATGCAGAGGACACTGGACGTGAATACATACGGCGCTAAGAGAGTCTGCGAGGCTTTCTTGCCTTTGCTTCAAAAAGACGGGCGTATTGTGAACACAGCTTCTGCATCGGGACCCAATTATGTGTCGCGCTCCAGTGGGGAGGAGCGACAGCTCCTCACGGACCCAGAGGTGACCTGGGAAGCCCTGGATAGCTTCATGCAGGAGGCAGGCGCCGAGCCACGCGGCCGGCAGCCCTACGGTTTGTCGAAGGCCTGCCTCATTTCCTACACGATGCTCATGGCCCGACTCCATCCCGACCTCAAGGTTCCGGCTTCTTGTTCTTGTGCTTTTGCTAGCTCAAGCCTTTAAATGTAGTCTAAATGTCCTCATCCCGGCTAGACTCTTTCGGCCCAGCCCTCCAGATCAACGCCATGACACCTGGCTACATCCTCACGGACATCACCCGGGGCATGGGGGCCACGAAGCCACCTGAGGAAGGAACCAAAGCAGCAATCCACTGATGCTCGTCCGGTTCTCTTCACCGCTTTTGGTTCTTTGTTGTGGCGTTGGTTGGTGTAGGGCCCACTACGGCCTTGAAAGCAAACGTCTTCGAAGTCAATCATGCATGCGCTGTCTATGCCATCCACCCTTCCTTGACACTTTCACGGGTTGATTGGAGGTGGGTCCGTGTAGTAGGGACTTCGGTCTTCTCCTTTGTCTTCTCGGGGAGATTACAGCTTCTCTTGTAGTCATTAAGGGTGTCTGGGACTGACTGGGGCTGTGCTTCCATCAGTGTCCCGGATGACTTGATTATGGTATCATGTCCTTCATTCACTATCCATTGTCTTTGAGGTGTGCCTTCTTTTCTGCGCGTTTGAGAGTAAACTCTTCTCCAAGCGAGCGTAGCACAGCCCGGCAGGTCTTATCGGGGAGCTGGAAGGAAACGGTCGTTACTATGGGTCGGACGCGCTGCGGAGCCCTATTGATCGATACCGTGCACCGGGCGACCCTCCTTACGAGGGGCCATAGAGGCAACTAGCCTAAGGACAAGTCCTTCACTGGTCAAGTCAATGGCCAATGGTGTTTGCTCGCTTGCAGAGCGAGGCCCACGAGAGATCCACAAATATGTGCACTGCAGAAGAAGTTAGAACCAATCGCTCCGGCGCTCGGCAGTGAATGGCTTCGATTTTCCTTTGACCCGCGCAAAAGACCGCGAGAGAGAGGGCAAGTGGCAAAAGCTGCAGTGTCTTCAAACGACAGAGAAGCTCTGGTACCGGTTCTGTTACGTATCGGTCCAGGCTGATGAAGATCTGCTCATGGTGCTGGACGATCTCCTTGTGCCGAACAGTGCCATTCTTTGCACGGTGCCTTGTCTTATCCACAGGCGTTGTGGCTTTGGTACTTTTGAAAGCATTTTGCAGGTGGACTGCCCTCCTGATGGGACGGACGTGTTCCACGAGCCTGCGGAGGCAATAAAACGCACGTGCGATACGACAGCTGAAATGCCAGACTGCAGGGGTGGTCTCCTGCAAGATCTGCCACTGGCGCGTGGAAGGCCACACCTGAAAACGACAAGACATGTAGGGTCCCATTCATTCAACTATGAGTTTCAGGACACGTCTTCGGCAGTCTACGGAGTCCGTCGTGTGGACCTCTTCGAAGACCTGGGTTTCTTGGTTGCCAGCCGAGCCCAGCATGTTTCGAAGTGGGTTTGATTTTGCAAGCATGATTTGGGCCGATTGTGTATTATTCCATTCCCCTTGCATTGATAATTTGGGGGCTGCCTTCCAAACGGCTTCGAAGCTGAAGATGCAGCTTGTGATGCCAAGGCCTGGACCGTGGCACCTGCGTGGCCCACGCCGGCTCTGTGCAGATCACGGCGAGGCTAACTCATCATCTTGGAAAGGCCGAAATTTGTCCGTGCATCTGATCTAGCGACCTTGCTGCTCGTGTTTGTTCTGCACATCTCTGCTCTGACGTGTCAATCCCTACGTATTGTCAAAGGCGCAGGTAGCTCTCATAAGCTTTCCGTGGCCGGTTTCCGCAATGAATGAAGACAGAAGCATCCGATCTTTCCCGATCTCCCAGCATTGTTATGCGTTCCGGTGTACTGCTAAGGACATCAGCTTGCTTGTCCTCGTTTCGTCTTTTTCGGAAGTCGTCTGCCTGTCTCGGCGTCTTCCTCACAAGTAAGTAGGTGACGGCGCCTTATGCACGACGACCCGACTTAGCGCATAGATGTGTGTACATAAATAAGATTTAATACACATAAGCAAGTAATTAAGCAAGTGAGTGTGTATATATATATATGTATGTATATATATATATACACACACATATATATATATATATATATATATATATATGTATGTATACATGCACATACACATACCAAAAATACTGGTCCATCGGCTGACGTCGCAGCTGAAAATGCCAGGGCTTTCTCCCCCCATATGCCAATTTCCCTATAAGGTTCTTCGGCACAAGACTGCGATGCCTAATGCGCAGACATTACTGCAACCAGGCGTTGAGTATGTAGGCTCTATGCTTTAACATGACTACTTGTAGCATTGATCCCACAACCCATCATCACACCGCTACGACGCTGCACTGCCAGCGCTTCGTGGCAGATTGGAGAGCTCAGCTCTGCTCTGTCCAGGTGCTTACAGAGATGTACGCTTGCATGCTGTTCCGGGAGATGGTCAGCAGAGGTACGATCGGCAAGCGTTGTCATTTAGATGTAACTTAAGATTCACTCCTGAATCTCATAGTGGTAGGTGAGCAAGTCGTGTAACCAGCATGTCTCCGCTGTGGATGCTAACTGGCAAAAAGCTTCCCTTCAGCCGCAGGTTGCACACTCTGTTGCCTGGCTGCGCTCTCTTGGCGAATCGCTGTGCTCGAGGTTCTTAGGGTCAGCCGCACGATGGATGGAGCGTTGCTGGATCCCGAGTTTGCCAGGATGATGTGATTGAGCTGGTGCTGACTGGGCAACGGCTGGCGGAGACGAGCACCCCAAGCGAAGGCTGCGCGAGTTTTTTTCCAGGAGCCTATGCTGCTTGCGGCTGCTTGCGGCTGCTAAGGCAAGCCCTGGCGTAGCCATGGCCATGGCGCCGCATCTTCGGCAGCTGGGGCCGGGGAGGCAGTGCCACGGAACGGAGCCGCTATGGCCCGAAAAAGCTG